CAACTCAAGCTCAGATATAGCCGCAATGATCCATTTTTGGTTCTTGTAAATATCATAGGTATCATTGTAGTTTTAAGGTGCGACATTTGTCAGTTTTCATTGCAAGATTCTTATGCTCACTAATTGTATCGTGTTATTTAACAAGGGCATTTGTTTGCCATATCTATAAGAAAGCATTTGTTGTATGTAGTGTGAATCAAAATGTCGGATCTATTAGTTGGTATATCTCTGTCCAATATGAATGGCAAAGTTCCAAAGAATACTAACTTTATGATTCTTATGACTGGTTTTAGATGGCCTTCATGCCATTCACCAGAATCTGGCACACTGTATTATTGGTAGAAACTTCCATTGAATATACTGACCAATTTTCTTCTTCTTCGTCGTCGTCTTCTTCTTCTTCTTTTTCTCCTCCACCTCCTCCTCCTCCTTCTTCTTCTTCTTCTTCTTCTCTAAAATAAATGTGCTTGGCTATCTCTTCGTCAGTTCCTTTGTTCGCAGGAACGTGACACTCTGCTAATACTTAAAAAATAATGGACTATTCCGTATTGATTGCGTGGAAAGCGGGAAAAGACACTACTTGGTTTCAGTGAGAAAATGAATGAAAGAAAGAAAGAAAGAAAGAAAGAAGGGAAGATAGAAAGAAGTGTTTAACGTCTTCTGCCAGTACCTCATAAATAACGGACTATTCCATTTTGATCGCGTGGAAAACAAGACATATCAGAAACGCTACTAAATTTCACGGAGAAAAGGAATGAAAGAAAGAAAGAAGGAAGGAAAATAGAAGTGTTTAGCGACCGTGTCAGTGAAATGTAATAAGCTATTTCAAATTTGTTTATTTGTATCCACTTCTTAAAATAACAATTCGGGCGAGCATTTATAGTTGTTATTGTTTTGTTAAAGTTGTTAAGTTCAAATATTTAACGATATGATAGGAGAATTTCTACGGATATTTTATTGTCATAGAACTTGCCATAATCTTTATTCAAACATTAAATTAAGAATTAAGATTCGTCAGAATATGAAATATATGAACACCGTGAAATTTTCACAGGTCTTTCTAGTTATTATTTTCATAGTAGCCTAAATTTTTTGTTCAAATCATGCAAGGAATATCATAGATAATTTTAAAGAATTTCAAACATTCAAGTCATTTTTTTCTCAGTTAGCTCTAATTTCTTGCTTCAGATGATCGGCGAAAACAAGAAAAATTGAAAATTTTAAGTCATTTGTGTGAAAAGCCAAAAATGAAGAGCTAGGCAAAAGCAAATCAAATAAAGTTTCAAATATGACGTGAGAAGAAAAGCAAATCAAAACACAGATATGTTCGATTATATATTAATTTAGAGATTTAAAATAACAATCATGATTATTTTATTTTCGCGAATGGTCCATATTTTAATCTCTCTTCAATCTTCAACAGAAATCTGACATCATTATTTTATCCCATCTCCCTTGATATCTGTCCTACATGACTTTTGTGTCCTGATGTCAAAGTTCTCCTTTTCAATTGCTAATATCGCCAGTTTTCTGGAAACATGTCCAAATGACTTATGCAAGAAATGTAGCTTGTTATTCATTTTAGCTCCCACTGGGTTGCTAACATCCTGTCAACTAATTTATTATATCCTTTCTTTTTTTAACAGTAGCAAATGAAATCAAAGTATTTGATTCAATAAGATTCATAAAGTTGTAAAATTTCTTTAATTTTTTTTTTCACCTGCCAAGAATTGTTATAGGAGACACAAAGCTACTAAATTTTATTTTGAAAGGTTGCAAGGGAAATCATAGCTAATTTTAAACTGTTTTATGGTAAAGAATCGGAATATTTTAGTCATTTTTCTCAGGTAGCTCTAGTAGTCTTGATATAGAAGATGGGCGAAAACAGAAAACTGCTTATTTTAAGTCATTTGTGTGAAAAGCGAAAATGAACAGCTAGGCAAAAGCAAATTAGATAAAGTTTCAAATATGACGTGAGAAGAAAAACAAATCAAAACATAGATAGGTTCGATTATATATTAATTTATAAATTTAAAATAATAATCTTGATAAAAATAAATCCGCTTTTTTGATTTTCGCGAATGGTCCACATTTTTATCTCTCTTCAATCTCCAACAGTCATCTGCCATCATTATTTTATTCCATCTCCCTTGATATCCGTCCTCAATGACTTCTATGTTCTGATTTTTTCTCATTTTTTATATCGCCACGGTTTTATAGTAACGTGACCGAATGACTATGCAGTGTCGTTTAAAATCCAGCCTCAATCTCCGGGTAAGTTTGCTAACACCCTGTCGACTACTTCAATGTTTTGGTCTTTCTTGTGATCACCAAGAAAGTGTGTTTACTACAACAACAAATGAAATCCAAGCATTTGATTCATTAACTTTCACAGAGTTGACGATCGTTGATGAGTTTTCGAATGTCAGGTCCATTAAAAATAGATTGCTTCAGTTTGTCTACGATACAAATGTACTGAAAACATTGGCCTTATTTGTCAAGTGCTTTCCCAAACTGCTTCATGAATCCTAATTTGATAGTGATTTTCCAAGCGTAGCTTAGATGTGGCACAAGGCCGAAAATAGAGGGCACACAGTGAGGACCGAACTCACTGCTCAGTCGTAATTGTTCTAGTGAGACAAGCTTGCTAACCATTACACCGCCTGAGGTGCCCAAAGGGAAGAGTGAGGATGATTTTGTCGCTTGGGTCTAGTTATTAATCCTGCTACTAATACTACTACTACTAATACTACTATTATTATTATTATTATTATTATTATTATTATTATCTATGTTGTTATCTTTTCCAAGAGAAGATCTTTTGTAGAAATTTAATGAACAGGAGGGGATTACAACAAAGGCCCAAGGATTTTGCCATTTCTTTAATCACAACCAGAAACTTACCATATTATGTCGGAAATCTTAATACCTTTCCTCCTTGTATTTTCCTTTCTCGACTACCCTTACACCGTCTGATGACGCTCTATCGATGAACCGACATTGTTCGTCTTCCTTCTGGAGGGTCATGATATCGGACCGCCATGATTTAATTACATAATAAAATTATTATTATTATTATTTTATTTAGCTTGATTTCTAGTGTATACTCATTTCTTTCCGAGTCCCGACCGGAGACCTAAGGTCAGAAATGACATCATGACATTTTCCACTGTTAGTTAGGAAGCTCCCTGTGAGGATCGAAGTCACTACTCAGTCGGAATTGTTCTAGCGAGACAAACTTGCTAACCATTACACCGCCTGAAGTGCCCAAATCCTAATCTGATATGTAGAAGAGTGAGGATGATTTTGTCGCTTGGGACTAGTTATTACTGCTACTACTAATACTTATACTACTACAATTATTATTATTATTATTATTATTATTGTTGTTGTTGTTTTTTTTTGTTTGTTTTTTTCGCTTGACTTCTGGTGTATACTCATTTCTTTCCGAGTCCGAGACATAAGGTCAGAAATGACATCATGACATTTTTCCACTGAGCAATTAAAAAAACAACAACAAAAAAACAATACACATATTTTATATCGATAAAGCCCTTCGTAAGGTGTAGACTGGACTCGTGAGAACCAATTTTTGTACTTCTTTAAGGCACGAGCTACCGTTCGATGAGACTATTGGGTTCTTTTCCAATCAATCCAAAAGTTCCAACTACAACAGCGATTCTTGGTGTTCTCATGTGTCCCATTTCTATTTCAAGTTTCTGTATTTTGATAGCATTTTGAATATCTTCAAAGATATATTACAGTCTGCAGGGACTTTTCATATCAATAAGGTTTGGTTTGATTTGTTTAGTTTTACGGCATATCAACCTGAATGGGTTATTTAATGCGGACAACTTTTTTTTCTTGGTAAAATTTTGTTTTGTCAAAAATCTATTTCTGGTAATATTTTTTTCCTCAAAAATGTATAGCTGATAATATTATTTAAAAAATGTATTACGGGTAATATTTTTTTTTTCAAAAACGTATTTCTGGTAATATTTTTGTTCAAAAATATATTGCTGGTAATAGTTTTTTTTCTTTCTTCAAAAACTTATTTTTGGTAATAATTATTTACAAAGTATTTCTGGTATTAAAACCTATTTTTACACTTTCATAATCCTTTTTACCTCAGTTTCGGGGTTAACTATTTGCCCATAGCTGGGACCTTAACAGGTGCTACCACCCCAGGTCAGGGCGGAGCTGGGAACGCCAGCAATTAAGCTCATCAGAGGCCTTGCTGTTGGATGTAGTTTATCGTCATACCCAGGACAGCCTATCAATAAGGAGGCATTTTTTTGTTTGCATTCTCTAATAATGATGTCAGTGTGCATTGTGTTGTCCAAGAAAATTGTTACAGGTCTGTAACCGGGTCTTGGTGGTGTTCATACCAATTATTATTATTATTATTATTTTTTTTTTAACATACAACGTGTGTTAGCACGTGCGATACCCTGTCTTCATCAGCCGCCGACCAGGGGTGATATCACGGTTTCGGTGGCTATGGTGGTACCGCCACCCCTGGCGCCACCAGTTTATTATTATTATTATTATTATTCGAAAGACGAAGACGATTACTTTATGTATTTCTTTTTCGTTGTTTTATTTTTTTAATTCATATGATCCTTTGTAGGTGAAAAACTGAAAGGTAGCCTAAAATACAGTCAAGTTTAGACGATGCACTCCAGTGTGGAGCATATGTAAGAAATCTACAATCACGAGATATTTTCAACTGTACAATACTCTTATTTGACTCGCAAATATAATATCCTGATGCTTGCTCTAAGGGGGAGGGTCGGTAGGCGGTTTTCGTTCAGACGCGTCAATAATATGAACAGGAGAAGAAGGTCATAAAATGATATGAAATGATTTTTTTTTTACATGTTGAATAGGAAGAAAAACGAATATAGATATAGATGCGAAAGAAATACAAGTCAAGGCGAAAAGAAACTAAAAATACCTTTTATATGATATCTTATAGTGTATCTGAAATTGACTTTGCTATGTACATACCTCATGATATAATCTATCTATCTATCTATCTATCTATCTATCTATCTATCTATCTATCTATTACAGTTTGCTATCTATCTATCTAGCTATCTATTAGTTTGTTAATATCTATCTATTACAGTCTGTTTATCTATCTATCTATCTATCTATCTACAGTCTGTTTTTTTTAATATCTATCTATCTATCTATCATCTATCTATCTATCTATCTATCTATCACTGTCTGTTCATTATCTATCATCTATCTATCTATCTATCTATTACAGTTTGCTACTATCTATCTAGCTATCTATTACAGTCTGTTAATATCTATCTATCTATCTATCTATCTCGGTCTGTTCATTATCTATCTATCTATCTATCTATCTATCTATCACTGTCTTTTAATATCTATCTATCTATCTATCTATCTATCTATCTATCTATCTATCTCAGCCCACTGCTTCTTGCAGATATATTGGATAGGTTCCGATGCTAAACTTATCTATCTTTTTGACAATATTTCCGAAGAATTAGAAAGATAATTCGATACATATGAACAGAACCAACACATGGATGCACATGTACAACTAACTTAGGTAAGGATGGTGAAAATACTGAGACGAACAGACAGATAAGTTCTGCCTGTCAGTGGCGAATAAATAAGCAAGGAAAGAACTGAAGATAGTTTCGTAGACCTTTGAGCGAACACGTCCCAATTTATGCAGATGACATAAGATAATTCAAGTTGCATATCAAATATGTTTTCCTTCTTAACACTGCCGTCCGTTAATAAAGACACTTTTATAACATCTATGAAGAGTAAGTTAGAAATTTGTGAATATAAAATTACAGTCTGATCTTCTTTACTGGGTGTCGGCAACGTCGAGCGTTGCATATATTTCGAAAATTTGTCCTTTTCGACATGATGTAATATGCTGATGCGAAAGTTTTCAACATTTTTCGACGCTTTCATTCATTCATGTGCAAATTCATATTTGACACCGCGGAATGGTTAGCAAGCGTATCATGCGGGATCAGTTACGACTGAGTAGTGAGTTCGATCCTCACCGGGTACCGCATATTTTCGGCCTTGTGTCACATCTAAGCACGTTGAGAAAATTATCATATAAATCCATATCTGAGGACTTCGATGCAATGCTCATCAAGCTTGTCTGGAGAGATCAATTTTGATTGATTAGTGAGTTCGATCTTCATTGGGTGATTTACATTGTCGGCCTTGTGCCACAACTAAGCTACGCTTACTAAAAACAAATTGTATTCTTCAACGTAGTGCAATGGTTAACAAGCTTTTCTTGCTAGAAGAAATAAAACTGATTAGTGAGTTCAGTCCTTATTGGGGTCTAATATTATGCAGATGACACGATATACAGTAGAGACCATCTTATCCGGAATACCTCTTATCCGGAATCCCTCAAATCAGGAATCCCTCATATCCGGAATCCCTCATATCCGGAATCCTCATACCCGGAATCCCGCATATCCGGACATGATTTTGATGTGTATATTTGAACTATTTGGGTGATAATTGAAATTTCTATTTTTCAGGAAATTTACTTTGGCTAATTGCTTATGCTTATTTCATCCTAATGACTTGTATTGGTCCAAACAGATGATGGGAATAAGAGGAATGGATGACAATGAGACACATCTGCAACAAGATAGCGACCAGATGCATGATTGTGATGAAACCTAGACTGAAATCGAAAAAGCTATTGAAAAGGTTGTCGGTTTTATGGAAAGAAAGCCAGCATTCAGCTATGACGACTGCAATAACGCACGCAGAGTTAAAAAGTGTCTTTCGTCTTAAAAAATTCAAGAACAAAAGCAAAAAGAAATGCGGAAAAGTTGAGAATGATATTAGAAGAGAAAGAATCATCATGCAACAGCCAATAAAAAAATCCTCCTTACATTATTTGTTTTGCACATGTGACATACTTAATTTTATGAATTTTCATTAACATTACATAATTTATTTCCTTAAAATCAATTCTTTTATATTTCACTGATTATTTAGTTTACTATAAAACATTGAAAATAAATGTTAAACCTGATTTCAGTTCTGCTATTTTAATCTAAATATGACCCCTCATATCAGGACTTCGTAACCAATTCCTCATATCCAGAAAGTCTTCTGAGCCCGGTTATCAGGGATTCTATTGTATAAAGAAACATCAGCGATCAGCATGTTCGTTTTAGTGTCCCTCATATCCGGAATCCCTCATATCAGGACTTTGTAACCAAATCCTCATATCCGGAAGGCCTTCTTCGTCCGCTTGTCAGGGATTCTACTGTATATCAACTATGCTTCTTTTGTTTTCCGTGCTGCGCCACATCTAAGGTGAGCTTAGAAAAATCACCTCCTAAATTCATGTTTGAGCACTTTGACACGATCCAGTGGTTAGCAAGTTTGTCTAGATATATCAATTTCGACTGAGCAGTGAGTTCGATCCCCACTGGATGATTTAAATTTTCGACCTTGTGTTTACAACTAAACTGCGCTTAGTAAAAAAAAATGGACACTTCCACGTGGTGCAATGGTTAGCAAGTTTTTTTTATTGCTTTTTCAATTACTGTTGATTAGTGAGTTCGATCCTCACTGGGTGCGCCATTCTTCTGGCCTTGCTACATCTAAGCTCCATTTAGAAAATCGCCATATAAATTAATATTTGAGCGCTTTGAAGTGGTGCGTGTTTAGCAAGCTTGTCTAGAAAATTAACATATAAATTCGTATTACACTTATTTTGATAACAAAGTAATTTACATTTCAATGTAGAAAATCATCAAAGACCTAGGCATCGTGCAAACCGAGTAAAACGTTTATCGTGTTTACCACATGGTGATGGATGACAGGAGATTGATTACAAATCAAATGCAATTAGCATATCTCGTAAGGGAGTTGAGATTATTCTGCACAATAAACCTGGCACAATGAAGGTTTTTGCTCAGTGGCTGCCACGTCTTCTGACGTCCGATCAAAGCACTCAAGGCTGTGATCAAATCATCTGACATTGTTTGAAGCAGATCCAGCTGGTTTTCTTGAACATTTCCTGATCCGGGATGAGTACTGGCTTCATTACATTGAGCTTGGGACAAAACACAATGCATGCAGTGGAAACACCCCTCCTCATCTTCTCCAAAGAAAGTAAATACATTTTATTTATATCCGCGCGTTTGCTGAAAATCCTGTGTAAATTTTCTGTTTGAAAACCTAATTTAAACTACATCAGTTCTTCTTACTGGAAAGATGGTGTAACAGGCGGTTTTGTTGATTTCTTCTTGAGTTCCTTTTTTATCAGACCCAGAGCTCCAACTACAACAACGGGAATATATTTAGTTTTAATTGCCACAACTCTTCTATTATTATTATTATTATTATTATTTCCTCTGATTTTTGGTGTATACTTATTTTTTCCAGGTCCCAACCAGAAACCTAATGGCAGAAATTGCATCATGGCATCCCAACTGAGGGAGTTTTGAAAAAAATTTCACATATTTTTTTAGATAAAGCCCTTTGTAAGGTGTGGCCGTACCTGTGAGCAGAATTTTTTTTTGTATTTCTTTAAGGCATGAGCTACTAAGAATCCCTTCAAAATTATTATTATTATTATTATTATTATTATTATTTTATTTCTTTTGATTTCTGATGTGTACTCATTTCTTTTCGGGTCTCGCCCAGGGACTAAAGGTTAGAAATGGCATCAAGACGTTTTTCACTAAAAAAAAAAAAAAAAAAAAAGAAAAAATACATAGACAAAGCCCTTCGTAAGGTGTAAGCTGTACTTTTGAGTTATTATTATTATTATTATTATTGTTTCCTTGAATTTCTGCTGTATACACACTTTCTTTCCGGGTTCCAACAAGAGACCTAAGGTTAGAAATGGCTTCATGATATTTTCCATTGATTATTTTATAAGAAAATATTTAAATAAATTAAATAAGTACCTAAGATCACACAGATTTTATATAGATAAAGCTCTTCGTAATGTGTGAGCTGTACTTGTGAGTACAACTTTATGTATTTCTTTCAGGTATAGGCTTCCAGGAATCCCTTCAATGAGTCTATCGAAACCTTTTCCAATCAATCTGAAGGATCCAACTACAACTGGAATTACTTTTCTATTATTATTATTATTATTATTTGTTCTGATTTCTGGTGTATACTCATTTTCCGGGGCCCAACCAGAGACCTAAGATCATGAAGTGCATCATGGCATTTTCCACTGAGCAGTTTTCTAAAAAGTAAGAATTGAATAAGAAGTGGGAAAATATTAAATTTAACACAAATATACCTGTTGCAAATTCTAAAAAAATAAAATACAAAATAAGAGAAAAAGCCATCTGTGCGTATTATACAACATACATTTAGTTCTTCGTGTTATACACAAGTACATATTATACAGTGGATTAATGGATAGCGGCTCGGATTGAGGAAAAAGAGAGCCGAGTTCGAATTCCAGTCGAATCCATTACATGTTAATACCTTTGGAAAGGTATGAATCCTCTTCTTCCTCCTCCCCCTGCTATAGGTAAAATAGCAAAACAGACCGGGTTCTGTAGCCTTGGATAGGAACTGGTCTACCGCAGAAAGAAATGGCAACCTACTGCGAGGAAAAAAAACTGCCTCGTCAATCATGTAGCGAAAGATACATGATCGCTTAAGCGTGTATCACGCATAGCACATAATTCACTTATATATTATACACGAATAACTACAGTAATTTTCCTGGATTCCAGCTCCTAAAAAAAAAAAATTTTCCTGAAATACCCCAAACACAATATTTTTTTTTCTCAAATCGATGTGATTTAGAGTGAGATGTTAAAAAATACTGATCTCGACACAATATTTGTTTTGGCTTAGTATTCTCAATATGTTTATCGTCGTCACAGACTGTCTTGTACAAACATTAGATTATTTGTCTCGAGCAAAGAGAAACAAAAAATTGTTTAAATTTTCTTTAAATTTTATAGATTTTATGTTAAGATTGAACAATTTCGATAAACCCAACGAATCAAAATAGTTCTACCCACCAACTCTAACACAACTATAATTGAAAAGACTTTAGCTGCACTCAACACAAAATTTGTTAAAACCAAGTAAAACAATAAAAGAATTTGTTAAAACAAAACAAAAATAAGCTAAAACTTGAAGGCGGAATCCACTATATATATATGTAATAATTGCCATATAACATACATAGGAGAAACCTCAAGTTATTTAAATAAAACATTATATGAACACAAAAGAGATCAAATTTGGATGGAATAAGGAAGAACATGAGAAGATACAGGCAAATGATGAGATAAGAACATATGAATTATATAATTTGTTATCTGTCTATATTTGTGAGATGAGGTATTATGTACATTATTTACATTATTCGGACTATTTTCTTCATCTTTGTCGCCATATTTATTACAATATGGGAACCAGTAATAAAGAGTACCAGAGAAAAGCGATAATAACAACAACAATTGCAATATGAGCTCTGGTTTTTACCAGAGCTCATATTGCAATTTTTGT